AACTTCAACCAGTGTGAAGCTGGCTAACATGTTTCTGGCACTGACACACACACAAACACATTTTTCAGCTTTCATTTATCCAGACAGGGTCGACTGAACGTCTGTTTTTGGTTTTCTCCCATTTTTCTTGCTATATCTCATTTCCACCATTAACAGAGGGATGAGTGAGGACATTTTCTTGTGTGGTTAAATTTACACAACAGCGACTGACGATGGATCACTTCACAAACACACTATACTGTATATAGGTTCTCACAACTGCCAGGCATGTTTGGAAGCCAGTTTTCTGTCACCTTTGATCACTTACGGAGTGTTTCATTATTGTGTGTAACACAATACAATGGATGGTATATGGACTGTATATGTATAGCGCCTTTCTCGTCTTCCAACCGCACAAAGTGCATTTACACTACATGCTACATTCACCCTTTCACACACGTTGTGGTGGAAAGGCCATCGCAAACAGAAACTAACTAATTCACACACATTCATACACTGATGTACATCACTGGGAGCCATTTTGGGTTCAGTATCTTACGCAAGGACACTTGACACACGCAGCAGGAGGAGCCGGGGATCGAACCGCCTATCTTATGATTTGAAATAAATTAGCTTTAGATAGCCAGATATTTTGTTGTGTAGTTGTTTGACAAGATTTATTCATTATTCTTATAAAAAAACATTAAATGCTGTCAATGATCAGACAGTTTGAGGCAAAAGAAATTCTTTCTGGCAGAACTGTATCTTGCCAATGAAAGTTAGCATGTAAGTTTTATACCTCCAAAACAGGTAAATAGCACTCACTTGACCAGCATGCAATTTTAATTTTATCTGGATTGGCTTTTATTTGTTTCTTCATGTTATTCTTACAGGTGCTCAGTGTCAGTGCTTCGACACTACTAATGCTAACAGACTGAAGCAGCATTGTGACGTAGGAGGTCCTTGGCAAGGATGGCTGGTGATCTAACCGCTAACCCACTATTCAGCACATTACTCCCCGTAAAACCACCACTTGGCATTTTTACATTTCTGTTTTTGTACAGATTAAACAAACAAAAGTCATAGCCCTATGTGCAGAGACTGACACTGGAAGTGACCCCCCCCCCATAAAACCACAGGGTGACGCTTTAACACTCAAGTTTTTGTACGGATTAAACAAAACGAGACATACCGGGTTAACTAGTGAGCTTTAGAACTTGTAGGAGAACTTTGTTACCTTTGGACAGAGCTGGAGCTGTTTCCCAGTCTTTTCAGTCGTTATGCTAAGCTAAGCCAAGCAGCTGCTGGTAATAGCTACATATTTACTGTACAGAAATGAGAGTGGCATCAGTCTTCTCAGCCAGTGGCCACATCTCAACAATGCAACACACGCAAGAAAATATGACAGCGTTTTGTTTTCCAGTCGCAAGCAGGAACAAAAGGCAACAAAACACAGCCAAGTGTGTTTTTGTTGAATTTTGAGTAATAGTCACTGACAATTGAGGCTTTGACTTGTGGTTTTCACTGTGTTTTAGCTGCACGAAAGGTCAGGTCGACAAGGGTGATGACACACGTCTCTACTGTGGTATTATAGTCAGGTTTTTCTGTTGTGACACTCCAGAGGAAAACACGAGCACTGTGCTTCAAATCCATCACCCTCTAGTTACAAACCCGCTTTCTTAGCAGGCTGCTGCCACCTCTGCATAAATTTAACAAAAACATGAGTCTCATTCTTGCGTGTTTGCTGTTGTATTATCTGCGCTATTCTTGTGTCGGTATATCCTAGGATTCATCTGGAATCATTAAGATATAGATTTCACTTAGATTCTATCTGTTGTCTGTTTGTTTGGATTAAAAGTTGGGAGAGCCGCCTGGAGAAAAACAGAGTGTGTGTGGAGCAGACGTTTAGAATCAATGACCTGGTGAGATAACTTCACAGTGGGTTGCTTTCTCATTAAACAGACCTGTGCGTGGTTGTTTTAACGGGCCGCGGTTGTGTTTTCCTTTTGAATAGATGACTTTAGCTCTGTGCGCGCTTTATTCTACGCTCCCCCGCTCTCTCCGTCTTCTGCTCTTTTTCTTTCTTTAAATCTCTCACATACCTGCGTGAAAAATCCCAGATAGGTCAACAACAACTCCCAACTGACACCACGGTCTCTGTACTACATGCTGCTCACTTTGGTCTTTAAAGCATTATTGATTTGCAGTGATGGGAATAACAGCGTTATAAATAACGGCGTTACTTTTTTAAATAACGAGTAATCTAATTGATTACTCTTCCCATCTTAATAACGCCGTTACCGTTACTGCCAAAAAATGCTGCGTGTTACTATAATTGAAGCTGTTTTTTTTCATCAGACCAACTAGATCTCTGAGCCGAGAGGCAAAGACTTTTTTTTACTGTTCTTCCTTGGTTAGTGGGCAGTGCACGAGACAAGCTCATAAATGCTGACGATTGGCTGAGGTTGAGTTAAATTTTATGGTAAGCCAATCAGAGGTAGAGTTGGGCGGGTGTTCGAAAGCCAGACAGGTATGGCGAGTTGTGTTGCATCTTATTACATTTGCACTAAAAACAGTGTATATATTGTTTGAATACATTTTTGGTACTTTGCTTAAAGAGCATCATTTAATTTAGATGTATTTGTTGGCTGGCTGCAGCCTCTTGAAGTGAGATTGTCAATGGCCAGAGAAAGAGATTTATTTTTATGGAGATGTATCTTTTATTTCTTATGTATTACCTATATTTGGATTCCTTAGTTTTGCTATACATTGTACTTTTCAGTTAGATTGAAAGCACCTCATATTGTTACACTGTTCTACTTTTTCGAGTAGTGCAGTATATCTACGACTGTAGACAAAGTTTAGTTTTTTGTTTTATTTGCACTACAAAGAGTGTATATATTTGTTATTTGTTTTTGGTATAGTGCTTAACAAGCATAATTTAATTTTGCCCAGTTGTGGCCTGTTGAGGGGCAATAAATATCAAAAGTTCCAAAACATCTATTGTGTTATTTGTATCGATCCACTATATAAACATAATATCTACATACATGGCATTTGGCTAGTCTCACTTTGTCCCACAGCAACACTAGAATAGTTTAGATTTGTGTACATTGTTTCTGTTAATAATGTGTTGTATTAAGTGTCCATTTCGTTATAATATTCAGATTTATCATAAATAATTGAACATGCACATGTATTTTAAGTTGCGTTAAAGAGGGGTGGAGGTGGGGTCACATTTGAGCATTTAAAAATTTACTTGAAAGTAATGCAATAGTTACTTTCTGAAGTAACTAGTCACTTTTATAATTTGTAACTGATTAACTAATTTAGCTACTTTTTGGAAGAAGTAACTAGTAACTGTAACTAATTACTTTTTAAAAGTAACTTGCCCAACACTGTTGATTTGTTACCGTTCTATGTCTTCTCTCCTGTTGATGAATAGTCGGCTGATTAAATCTCGGGCAGCTGGCAGACGACAGCAGAAAGGATGCAGTGTTGTTTCATCTGCGGTGTTTCATTTGACATATACTGTGCATTTCACATCAGCCTGCGGCACAATCGCCCATGACTAGCCCAATGTGGGTGCTTTTATTTAAGTAAAATAAGTGGATACTTATTCTGTGGTTAAGGCAGGACATATAGGTAACAGGAGAAAATAAAAACATTCTTGATGGCACTACAAGTCATGTTATTTTAGGCCTGAAATCACTATAAAAAAGGATATACCTCTCTGATATCACATACACTGTATATTACAATGTGACAAAACAGAACAAAGGACTGTTCCACATTTCTGCTTTGCATCAGATTACGTTTAAATAACAGTTCATATGATTAATACTTAAATATTAATCAGTATTGAACTAGTCCTTTAAGTGCAGTGTGTAACTGTTCACAGATACTATTGTCTTCTAAAGCAGGGGATTCAAGTCTGAGACCGTAGGCCTCTTCTTAGACAAACTTTGAAAAAAGTTCCCCCTCAGTCCTACTTAGTTTCCCTCCATTGCTGGATGGATCATGATTATGTTGTCTGATCCCATAGACACTCAACAATTGAGCAAAGATATAATATTGCTGTTTGACATAACTTCAGACTATCACATACACATAGGGCTATTCTACGTTATCTCATTTGATAATGTTAGATTTTTTCACTGAGCCTCCTTTGCTCGCTTAGAAAACCTCTGTTATGTGTGAACATAGATGTCATGGCTCCTGAGTTGGGAATCAGATTTAAAAAAGGGACATGGACGTGGAAGCGTATTTTGAGTTCTACATATTCATTTTTGAGGTGATGTATATTCATACTAGTGGAACTTTGGATACTTTTTTTGATTGGCTGTTACTAAAACTCGCCTCAGTCCCCGTACTGATACTGCCTTCCTCACTGGAACAATGTACTCACTGTGTTTCAGCCTCTTTTCTAGATTGTGTCATGCTGCTATTCCAACATATTTGCTTCACTTATATTTAACTGAGATCCAGACTGAAATTACCTAACCTTAGCCTAAGTGCTTTTGCTGCCCAAATCTAACCATATGTGAACCCCAGTCTCTGGTGTCAAAGTTCTCTGTTCCTTTATGCCCACCTCCCTATAAGACTTCTGCGGGGTAGAAGAAGAACTCTTTCCTCACTCAGAAATATGTTCCCTGACATAATTAAGGCGACTATTACCTTTCCTGCAAAACATTTTTGTAAAAACTAAATTGTAGTATACAAACCTAGTTTCTAGAACCCAGGGTCGCTCTGCTCTGATATACTTGGCTATAAGCCTTTTTCAGTCCCGTCATTCATGGCCTGACACTTCTGATAATGTGAGCCCAGCAGCTTGCTGAGAAATTACTGCATGACTCACAAATGGTGGAGGTAACATATCCTTTGCAGAGCTAAAAGTAGAAATACCATAATTAAATATATTACCAACAAAAAGGAAAATGCAGCATTTGAAATGATATGCAACTAAGAAGTTGTACTAAACTGAATTGTAACATATCGACTTGTCCTACATGTTTCCTCAGACGCTGCTTCCTCCTGTCTGGACGAGAGGATGGATGGCTGACCTCAGAGCTCACTGATTGGTTCGCTGATCTTCGCTGGCTGCAGCTGCTGTCATGGCCAAAAGCCCCGAGGTGAAGCTGGCTGTCTTCGGCAGAGCGGGGGTGGGCAAGTCAGGTAAATGTGTTTGTATTTATCACAGATGGGTTCTTACAGAGGCTTCGCTCTATCTGCGGCTTGATAACACTTTCAAATATTTTAAAGTTTGTGTAATTGACAGATTACACTCTTTTTAATCGATATTTAAAAGGCTTAAATGTGGCTGCTGTGTATCTGCAGGTTTCATGGAGTGTGTTTCACCTCTTTCTGCCTCATTTACGTTTCCACTGAGCGTCTCACCACAACCTCTGCTTTCTAATGTTTTCCTCCATCATCCTGTCAGTATTTTTATACTTGCAGTAATTCCTTCCATGCTCAGTTAGTTTGTGTTGTCAACATTACAGTAGGAGGTTGTTTTTGCGCTGGCTTAAATACCTTCACTCCCACTGATAACTCAGTTGAGTCATTATGATTTAGTTTCAGCTATAAGCTGCAGCAGCTCGGCCTCAGCTGGCCTTGTATGTTTTCTCCAGTAGCTAACACAATAACACGGACCATATGTTTCCTGCCGGCTGCAAATCAAGACAGATTGCCTCTGCGTAGCAATCAGCTGTTGGAAAACATGCTTCGGGATCTCTTCCATGTTGAAGGAGGCCATTAAAATGCCTGAGGAGGTCAACTCAAGTACTGTACTGAAAAGTATAATGACTGAGAAGTTTATAACCTTCAGCTGGAAGGAGTGCGGTTGTAAACCATGGCAGTGAGGCTGACGGTGTCTGACATGCTCATCTGAAACCTTGTTCAAGGAACAGAGGCCTTCAGTCTGTGACTTATTTCCTTGAACTAAGAAGCGAACTGTTAGTCCTGCCCATCTCCTCCCCTCTCTCCAAAACCTGTCATTCATCTTGATGAGTTGTCATCTGCCCTAATCCTTCACCACTGCCGTCATTTCTTCTTTTCCTCTCAGGTTTTACTGTTGCTTTCTGCTCTGTGGCTGCTAACCAAATGTTCTCCACTGAAAATACTAGAAATGGTTGATTAGGTTAATGTTGGCTTCGGGCATTACTGTATGTTACTGCTCATTTTCTTCTTGTTCATTGAATTTGAACACTTGCAAGAATATGTTTACCTCCTATCTAGTTTCACAGCAGCAGAAAGATCACTCAGAACAATCATTGCTGAGGAAAAAACAGATAACCAGTTTAAAGTGCACTACACTGCATCTTGCTTTGCCGATATAAAACCAGGTCACGGGCTGATATGGCCCCAACTGTGACCTCAGCACTCCATACACAACTCATTCCAACACGTCAAATACTGCAGCTTGGTCAGTGGCCGTCTCTGCAGGTAACCCCCTAACGTCATTTCTGGACATGCAGGGCTCCACGGTTGAGTTAGCGAGAATAAACACGCAGTGTCCGCAACTTCTGGTCAAGTTAGCAATAATAAATGCAATACAGAGTTAGACTTTCAAAATAAAGCTTGCGTCCTTAATGTTGTGAAACTGTTGCTGTTTGGTTATGATTAGCAACAAAAACTACTTTGTTAGGTTTAGGAAAACATTTTAAGTTACGTTACGTACCTGACGTAACTTATGTACACACATAAGTAAGTCTGCACAGTGATGCCCACTTCTGAAAGTCAGAATCAGAAATCAGAAATTTGTTCAAAATACTGTGATGGTGCGCAATAGCCCATAAGGACTATGTTACAGCCCGTATTGCGACTGCAGGCTCCAGTTTTGTCATTCAATGCTGGGACAAATTCAAAACTTGCTGTCCCCATTAAACATGAGAGCCAGGTTTAGGTCCAGGTTGAAAAATACCGAAATTACCCTTACAGTCAGGTCTTTGTTTCCTGACCTGATGTCTGTGGAAGAACCCAAAAAACTATGCTACTTTTCAACCAACTTGTGGTCTAGTTCTTGTGATGAACACGTTTGCTTACTGGAAAACTCTCTTCAACCCACTGCCTCCCTTTACATGTGGACATTTGATTTTCAAGTGGACCCTTGATTTACGCATAAAAGCATAGCAGAATAGTACATATACATATATATAGCCCCAGTGATCCTTTCAACAATAGATGGCTCTCATCTAAACATAGCCTTTTATTGGCCCACACATGCTAATGAATCAGCCTACTCCTCAATAGACCAGACCGTCACATATGGGTACTTTCAAAAACGCCCTCTTTATAGGGGATGGAAAACTGAAGTTTCCATAGACGTCAGTGCAATTTCACGTGTTTTGACATTTCTATAACCTTTGTTTTATAGACATGTCAAAAAACTATTTTGCTACCTTGCCTGAGTAAGGCTGATCGATCAGCCATCATGTCCTGAGACCCACAAATGTCAACCTGTGGAAGTCATTAGCAGCAAAGTCAGTGCATCACCAGTGTGGGAACTGTTCATTTCTGCCCAAAATTTTAATCCATCCAATATTTGAGACATTTCATCCACGGCCAAAGTGGAGGGCCAACCAACAGACTAACATTGCCATGTATAACCATGGTTCCACTGCATGGTACAGTCCAACTCGACATGCTTTTTTTATTAGGTACTTTTATTGATTCTGTTTTCCACTGCAGCAATGACACAATAACAATGGAAGATATCCTATTGTTTTGGCATCCTTTCAGATGCAGTTGAAAATAAGAATGTCTATACTTTGTCAAGCGACCAGGGCTTGGTTTTGTTTTAAAAAGAGACGAGAATAAAAAAATTACGGTTGCAATTTGCGGTCAGCATGCAGGATGTCCATGAAACAGTAGTGACAATTCTATTGATGATTCCTTTTGACCAATCAGTGATCTGTGGTGGTTTCGCCAGGACCAAAAAAAAGCGAGTAGAGTCGAACAATACCATGCAGTAGAAATACGGCATATAACCATAAACCACTTTCTCTTTTATTGTGTCCTATAGTACACACTGAACATTGCAAAATGGTGACAAGACGATCAGTTTCTTGCTCGTTCTTTGGTTTTAAAGTTCCAAAACTAAAACCAAAACACTGGGTTGTTTTTGTGTGTTCTGTTTTAAAACCAAAACTGGAAAATTCTATTTTTTTGTTTTAGTTGTGTGTTATTTTGTTTGTGCTGCTCTTCTCTGGCTGTCTGCAGGGCATGCTGCCGTCATACCCTGGCCCCTAGCCCTCCATACACACTGAGCACTACTTTGCTTCATTCTCCACTGGGTCGGACCCAGACCCATCTCCAAACCTGGACCGGTACCTGCTGGCAGCAATGCTGGACGGTCTGTCTCCCACCCTGCCGCCGCTGAAACTACGTATTCCTGGCTGCGCTTCTTGTTTTTCCAACCATAGTGTGTGTGGCAGGGCAACTTAGTGGCAGCCCTCCCTGCAGCCACCCGACCTGTCTAATCTCATGTCTGCGTAGCCCTGAGATACTCTGGCAGCAAAAAGCGGCTCTGGAGGAGTGACCCTGAGCAGCAGCAGGCCGGGTAGGAGGGACTGTGACAATCAAAGGGGTTAGAGTGTTTACCGGGGAAACTGCAGCTCACAATCTGCTGTATCAGTTTATTTTACAAACCAACTGTCAGAAAAACACAGACACAACAAGAGCTAAGCTCAAACTGTCAACCCATAGTCATACAGCTTCACGTCCCATTACTCAACAGTCTGATAAACAGTAAATTCATTAAATTCAGTGCCCCATGGCGCTATTTTTCAAGCTGCTGTAGCTGATATGCTGTCAAGGCTTTCGTCCTAGGGTAGTGTTGGAAAAAGTGGGATGGAAAAACTATAGACGCACCAGTAGGTACAAGTCTGAGTCCAACACAAATAAATTATCACACAAAACAAAAACTTGATTTACTCAGTTTGGTTTTAAAACAGAAAAACAACCCTGTTTTTTTTTTTCATTTTTCCGATTTTAGTTTTGAAACAGAAAAAACAAAGAATGAACGATACAGGGATCCAAGATCTCTGCTAACTTGGCAACTTAAAACAACATCTGTATTTATCTTGAACAACCCTGATCAGTCAAACCTATCACAGCATTCCTGTGAGTTAGTGTTCAGGTGATGCTACTGTTTCTTATTTTTGTTTGGCAACAGTGTATTTGGCCTTTAGTGGTCATCATTCACATCCAGAAGCTGTTTGTTCCCCTGCTGGGTGGAAAAAATTTGTTCCTAACGAGCATGAGCAGACCTGCAGGGTGTCTTGGCGTCGTTTGGGGTTTGCTGGGCCCTTCGCGATGGTCTGACCTGGACTCCTATGGAGCAGTATAGCTCTAATAAAAAGCAGAGTGTATTAGCTTAAGTTTGGTTGTTCTGGCACTTTGGTTTATTGACTCAGTGGAGGGAAACTCAGGTTAGGAAATAAGATACATTTGTCCAATTACTGTACCCCCAACTTGGTCACTGCTAAACACACACACACACACACACACACACACACACACACACACACACACACACACACACACACACACACACACACATGCACTCAAGCAAATACTCCCACACACAATTACCTCATAAAATAAAACTGGCAAAATTAGACTCAAAATAGACTCAATACTCTGTCCCATGACATATCTGTAATTATTTTATTTGACTATGATTGACTCATATAATAGAGTAGTTTGTGCTGTACATCAGAGGTCAGATATTTCCCTGAAGAGCTGGTGGAGACCAAAACAGAGCTAAAAGTCTGTCAGTCTCTCTTCACAGAGAGTGAATACTGGCCATACGACGTTGACAGAGACATGACTGAATGCTCATGGTGTTCCATGTCAAATTGGCCAGTGTAAATACGCAACTGTTTGCTAAGATGTTCACCATATTAAAGATGCCATGAGAATATTTGCAAGGATTATATTCTGAATATTTTAAACTGTGCATTGTTTTTTTGTTTGCAGTTTCTTCCTCATCTTTGTTAGCGCTCCATAGTACTACCAGTGGTCAAAAACTCCAGAGTCTACCCTTTAAAGTTATAAGCTGCAAATTTTGTGCTTACAGCTTATTGCACTGCCTCCCAAAAAAAGAAGAAAAAGATAATCCCAAAATTTTCCGGTGACTCTTTTTTTCTAGTCACTGTCTGACTTTATTATAT